CAGAATAGCACCAGGGATCATTTATTAATGGAAGATAATAAAGGATGTTTTTCTTCTTCATAGTCTATATATTTTAATTATTCCTAATGAATATGATTTTCTTAAAAAATACAGTAACTTTTATGAAAGCATGTCAATGTGACCAGAAAATAAAAATTAGTCTAATTGAGTGTTTAGCTCATCCAGGGCTTGCCTTACCAGGTATGTGCACATCTAGACCCCACTGGGCCACAGGGCCTGGTCCTGTCTTTAACCAGATAGCCACCCATTGGTGAGGGTGGAGGGACTGGTTCACTTGAGCTTCTCAAAGTGGGATTCTCACCTCCTGGGATTCAGACCATGTGCTGGGGGCACAGAGGACCACAGAACCAGACTCTAGCTATAACTTCACTTTACTTGAGAGTAGGCAACTTGTCACATTACTTTCCTATGAAGAACAAAAATCAAAATGTGTGTGAACATTTAAGAAGTTTTGAGTTTCTGAGAAGCTGCTTTGGGTGACATCAGCAAGTTTGGACTTGTTGCCCTTGGCTATGAGGTTAAAGCAAGCAGAACTTTTCTACCTAGACACTGTTGACATTTTAGGCAGGATAATTCTTTATTGTGGGGTAGGGCTGCTGTCCGGTGCATTGGAAAGTTTCACACACACACACACACACACACACACACACACACACAGAGTTGTAATGACCAAAATATCTCCAACAGGGGGCTGGGTTTGTGGTTCAGTGTTAAAGTGCTTTCTCAGCATGTGTGAAGCCCCGGGTTTGATTCTCAGCACTGCATATAAATAAATGAATAAAATTTTTTAAAATATTATGCATTTTTAGCTGTTGATACATAATATATATAGACATTATATATATATATATATATCTCCAACAGTGCCCCCTGGACCAAAAGTTGCCCTGTTTAAGAACCATAGTGGCTAAATACCATATTTAATAGTGTCAGGTAAACAGGCACTAGGCCCTGGGTCCAACCACCAGAATCATGAGGAGAAGAAAAAATGGTGCCTAGGTGAAAAGTTTTCATGGTGTAACTTTTGAGAAACACTAATCCACATTCTAAAAGTCTGATTTCAAACAGAGCTGCAGAATATTTCATTTCATCAAAATGCACTTGCCTTCTTGGAAAAAAAAAAAAGAAAAGAAAGTGGAAGAGGAGTAAAAGGGAAGACAGTTCCAATAAGAACAGCACAGCCAGGTCGGCCTGCCATTCCATTCCCTGACAACCACAGAGAGCCCCACCTTCGGCAGCCCCCCAGCTCCCTCCATGGGGCAGGCTCAAGCCAGCCACCTCCTTTCCTCCTTCCAGTTCTTAAAGGGTTCCTATCTCAGTAGCTTGGGAGGCTGAGGCAGGAGGATTACAGGTTTGAAGCCAGCCTCAGCAACTTAGTGAGACTATAAGCAATCTAGCAAGACCATCAAAATAAAAAATAAAAGGGCTGGGGATGTGGTTCAGCATTTAAGCACCACTGGGTTAAATCCCTGAGGAAGGAAGGAAGGAAGGAAGGAAGGAAGGAAGGAAGGAAGGAAGGAAGGAAGGAAGGAAGGAAGGAAGGAAGGAAGGAGAGAGAGAGAGAGAGAGAGATCCTAATCTCTGGGTCAACTCCCATGCCCCATTTGGGTTTTTGACTCTTCTTTATGACTTTTATGTCCAAAGTAAAATTCCCTGTTGATCTACCTACCATAGAAATGTTTGCCTGACTGAATCTCAGTTGGACCATTTAAGTGCTGGGATGGGTTAAATTTATAAATTGACATAAGGAAAATTGACATGTCTGGGTTATTGTCTTTCTATCCAAGAAGGTGGTATTTCCATGTGGGCAGTCTCCATCTATGTCCCTCCAGACAGTTTCAAAGTATTAGCACTTAGCACTTTTCTTTTTTCAAGTTGTTGAATTTCTTCCTAAGTACATCATCTTTTGTGTGGCTGGTATAAATGGTAGTGTCATGATATTTCAATGCATTAATATGTAAAGCACCCAAAATAGTCTAGCATACAGTAAGTGCCACAGATGCACTTGCTATGATTGTCATTCTTAGTTTCTGCCCCAATATCCTCTAACTGGATTTTTATCTGAATTTGGGTCATACTTGTTCTCTCTGGGTTTCTCCTGACCAGGAGCTATACAGAAGCTGGAGCACAGAACTGGACCTTAGGGCCTCATTTTAATGAGACAGTGTGGCATAAGAGTGACAGCTGCATCCCCTAACCAGCTCTTACCCTCTTTCAGATATTCCTTCCCCACTAATTTCTGCTCCCAGAATTAGAATTTTCTCTTATTGGCATATCTTCCCCAGAGGCTAAGGGACCATTTGGTGCTAAAACTCAATCATTATAAGCAAGTTTATAATTATTGCTTCATGTGTTCTGTCTGGCTTAGGAAAATGAAGTTTAATATTCCTAGGAAATAAAATATACTTTGGGCAAGTCTTACAATCCAATACAAAACTGTTTGGTGACTACAACTCTGAAAGAGGCTATCAATTGCTCTCTGTGTATCAGTAAGTTAGGCTGCATACTAAACTGCCCCAAAATTTAGTAGCTTAAAATAACAATCGTTGAGTTTTGCTCATGGGGCTCCAGGTCAGCTAGGTTGTTTTGCTGATCGGGACCAGCCTTGGCTAAATACACCTGGCCTCACTCATGGCATCTGTGGTCAGCTGAAGGGGAAGCTAGACTCTGACTGGTCTAGGACAGATCCCTCACCTATCTGCTGGCTGTTGTCTATCAGTTTAGGGCAGTGAATTTGACTGGGCTATGTGTATGTCATCAACCTGCAAGCTAAGTCAGGTTTGTTGTGACGGTGCAACTAAGTTCTGAGAGACAGCAGATAAGGTTTCTTGAGACTTACAACTGGAACTGATAAGGCCACTTTCTGCCATATTCTGTGGGCCAAATGAAGACATGAATCCATCCTGGATTCAAGGAGTAGGAATTAGAGCCCTCCTCTTGATGGGCAGGGCTGCAAAGTCATTGCAAAGGGCATAGATATAATCAATCTACCACAATTCCTACACCAAGATGAGAATGCTCAGCCTGATTTCCTTTCACCAAAGCTGCTTCATCTCATTAGCAACCTACTCATGGACTGACTCAGGCAAAGGTCCACAGGTAAAGGTCCAAAGGGATGGGATGGTCCATCCCATCCCTTAAAATTCATAGGACTTTATTTTTCCTGATTCACAACAGGTTCACTTTCTGAAGATGCCATTTCTTGACACTGAGCCCAAATCCAAGTCTTTCTGAGCGCATGGTCCTCCACACCAACTGTACAGATGATCCATTTTCCTCTCTGCCTTTCTGAGAGCATTTCCTTATTTTGGTGAAGTTTTTCATGAGTATAGACTTACCAAGACATCAAGAATGATTCCCAGCTAGTGGTTGAATAAATATTTGTTGACTTATCGACTCAATCAATCAAGGCTAATTAACTCACAATCCTGTTAGAAGCAATTCAAAATGTTACTTCTCACTGTCAGGAGGCAGACTGAGCTTGGAAGTAACCCAGGCGTCTCTCTTCCTTCTGGAATCTCCACGGCAAACCACTAAATCAGGACCATGGGAGCCCTGGTGGCCAAGCAAGGACAGACTTTCTCTGCCAGTTTCTTCTGTCTTCTTGCTCTCTAGGGTCACTAGAATGCCCTGAGCCAGGGTGTGGAATAGGCGGAGTTTGTACACCATCCTCTGACCTCCCACATTGCATGGCTGCTCTCCTCTACCCACCCCCC